TCTGACTCAAGCACTTGGAGTTTAATGATGGGATGAATGTCTCCGGGGGCGTCTAAATGGGACCCGGAATGGGACTTGCTTCCTAACCCAGTGCCCCTTCAGGCAGCCGCTTCCCAAGAGCGAGTGTGGGGCAGACTTCCCTTTAGCCCTGGAACTGAAACCATGTCTATCTTGTCAGTCTGTCTAAAGACCTTTGCACACTCAGCTTCTGCCAGTGGCAGAGTCAGCCAACCTTTACAGATCTCAGCAGGATCAAGGCACACAGGCAGCAGATATAAGGAAGCAAATCTGCTCCCACCAGTGACACCTTAAAACCGCCCAGAGAGCCTTTCAAAGATGAAGGGGACAGACATGTGTCTCTGCATCGGCATTGTCCGTGCTCCCTAATGGTCTCCCTATGCACGCGAGTTTGAGGACCCCTGGCTCAGAAGTCAAGAGCTTACCACTGGGGTCACACCGGGCAAATTCACTGCTCTGACTCCTAGGTCCCCTTCTATGAAATGGGTGATGAAGCTTTGAACCTCCCAGAACAGAAAGCTTTGAACTGGTTAGTATCCTGCGGCCCTGGGCACATCCCTACCTGGGTGGGGCACAGGCCATCGGCATCCTGGAAGTAGAAGAGGCCTCCATGGTCAGGGTCCCATCCAGAGCGGAAAGGCAACAACAGGAACTTGTCAACAACATGGGCTCGAAGTTCAGGGTCACCTTTCCGGATGGCGTGACGGAGCAGGAACCATCCGGCTTCCAGAGCGTGACCTGGTGAAGGCTCGGGGTAAGGCAGGCAGCGGATCCTTCCCCAGGCAGACGGGCTTAAGCCCTTGCACTGACTATGGTGCGTCCCTTCCTCCCTCCCTAACAGTGGGAGCTGCTCTGAGCTCCCCCACCCACTCAACAGCCATTCCCATGCAGAAAGCTTTGCCCTCCCAGTCCATCTCAGACTTGCTCTCCTGCCGCTGACGTCCCAGCCTGGGTGGCCTGTCCCTCCCCCTTCTCTGCCTGGTCCTTGGCTGGCAGACGGTGGAAGGAGGAAAGCAGTCTCAAGGCGCTCCCCATATCTGAATCCCAGAACCCCAAGCTGAGCGCTTCCCTCCTCCTGGGCAGCCCCCAGTCCACCCAGCCCCTCACCTGGGTTTTGGTGTCTTCCCAGGCAACCAGAAAGTTCCTCACCACCTTCTGACACATTCTCCAGCACAGCCTGCCCATCCCTCTGCCGGGGGACGAGCAGGAGAAAGTAATTCTGCCTTTAGCCCCGGACAACCAACCAGAAAGACCTTCCCTCCATCCCTCCATAATGTGCAAGCTTGGGCAAACCTGGCTCAGAGGGGTGTCTGAGCAGGGGCCGATTCATTCCCAAGAGCCCAGATGGGTTTCGAACCCCTGCTTTGGGCCTGGGCCCCCCAAAATGGGAAGGGTGAAACATTGAAGGAGGACTGAGATTGGGTGAGCTGGGCTGCCCGCAGAGACCTGGAAGGACTTAGGTCTGACGGGGTATCCTGCTCTCTGATGCGCCTGGGGCTCTGGCACCCTCCCTCCTGCCCTCTGCCCCACCAGGCTCCCTGGGCCCTCTACCTTCCTGAGGGTCCTGGGCCACGCCTTGCCCTGGCCGAGCTTCCCTGTGTCTCCCCATTAGGGCCCAGGTCGGGGGTGGGGTGGGGGTGGAGGAGGTGCCCTGAGGGGTGGGGGTTGCCCTGTCACCCAGCGCCCAGGCCCTGTCTGGCCCCGGCGTCAGCCTTCCGCTTCCCACCTGGACGTGCCACAGAATCCTCTGGGCACACCAGTCCCCCAGCTCCACGTAGTTGCCCGCCAGCTCCTTGTCTGACTCCCCGAGCTGCTCCACCAGGTTGAGCAGCATCATGGGTACCGCCATGGGCTCCGAGGCCAGGGCCCCCGGAAGCTGGGGCCGGCCCGGCCCGGACGGGTCCTCCCGCACCCAGCGTACGATCTGATCCATCATCTCCACGGCTTCATCCTGGGTGGGGGTCGGGTGAGGGGAGGGAGGCCTGGGCTGAGGCTGCATCCCGTCCAGTCCGGTCCACCCCTCTAGGCCTGGGGCGGGAGAGCCGTGTCCTCGGACCCACTCACAGGACACTTTCCTCTACCCAGCGGCCTGCCCTGGCCCTGGCCCTGGCCCTGGGTTGGATGCTGGGAGCCAGGGTGGATCTGCCTCAGGGGCTCTCAGTCTGGGGGTACAGGCCACTCCCAGGCAGTGAGGCTGGGCCCGAAAGCACTAGGGGCCCCAGACTGAGGCTGAAAGCACATATCTCTCAGATGTGGGCAGGGCGCAGATAGGTCCCTCTGTGTCCAAGGCCCCCCGTGAAGGTGTGGGGAGGGGGCGGGGAGTTCAGAAATGAAGGAGACTTCTGGGGGGTACACCCTTAGATACACGGTGGCTGTACAGTGTACTAAGGGGGTACTGCCAGCAGCCCTGGAGCCATGGGGGCCCAGAAGAAGGACCGGCATTGACAAAGACCGGCCTGCAGACAGGGCCTACGGAGGGGGCTTGCACACAGAGTCGGGGTGCATCAGGCGGCCGTGCCCAGCACAGACAAGGGCACAGAGACTCGCAGGGCAGCTTTCCCTCCACACACCTGGTAACGCGCTTCCCCTGTCACCCTCCACAGCTCGTTCATGGCCATGGTGTAGAAACACTCGCTAAAGATGGTTCGCTGCACCTTGACCGGGCGGCCATCCCGAGTCAGCACAAAGGCACACTTCTTTTCAGGAGGTGCCACTCGGGCATAACGCAGCAAAAATTCGCCACCTGGTGGTTGGGAAGTTGGCATGCTAGAACTCAGGTAAAAACATTCCCGCCTCTGCCTTCCTTCCCACCTGTGAGTGTCCCCAGGCCCTATGCTGTTTCCAGAACCCTCTAGGAACTAGGTACACGAGAGCTATTGAGTAAACTTAGAGTGGCCTCTGGGGACATACGGGCAAGGAGGGGGCACCTGCTTTAGCTGAATCCAGAAGCTCAGGGCGGCGGAAGCGCTCGAACTTGCGGTACAGGTGACAATACATCCACACCTGCGGAGGAGCGAAACGAATATGGCTTAAGCGAGGAGCAGCAGGATCCTCAGAGCTGGGAGGAGGGGGAGTCCTAGGTGCCCATGGTTGAAGGAAGAGTGTTGACATGACTCCCTGTCGTGTGTGTGTGCGTGAGCGCGTCTGTGGATGAGCCATGACAGGCCAAGCCGACTCTGGCTTCCGCCCGTGCGAGAGCTGCAAGCCTAGGCACATCCCTACCTGCCTTCCCTGCAGCCAGACATACTTGAGGTCGTCATACACCCGCCCATCGCGGCCGAGACACGTGAAGAAGCCCCTGTGGGATGCAGCATTAGCAAAGAGAAGAAGGGGTTTTGTACCCCTACCCCAGCCTGCTGGGCCCATCGGATCTGAGTCTGCTGAGAGTGAGGTGGGGGCGTGGGCGGGGCAAAGGTGGGGAGGGCTAGGCGCACCCGTGCTCCTGGTCGTGGGAGTGCTCCATCCAGAAAGCCACCACACGGTCCAGCTCCTGCTCCACACGCTCCTTCCAGGCCTGCAGCGTCTCCCGCTCCTTCTCCATGTCCTGGGGAACTTGGGACTTGAAGGCACAGCCTCCACCACAGACCTCCCCATTTTCCTGGGTCCCAGCCTCCTCAGCGGGCTCCTCTGTGCCTCAGGTCACCCCAGGCTCCAGTGGTCACCAGGGCTGCCTGACCTAGCTCCCCTACGCCCATGGCCTGGGGACCCAGCCTTTGTGGTTTCCCCTATCCATGTGCAGGACTGCCCTCCAACGCATTACCGGCCCCAGGACCGACCCCACCGAATTGGGGATCCTCCAGGACAACACCCTCCCCCACCTCATGGGCCCCAACCACTGGCCTGCCACACTCCGAGACCCCCGCTCATCCCTTCCTCTTCTCCAGGAAGCCAGATGGAGCTGGTCGCGGTCCCGTGACTGTCACTCAGCTGACCCAGCCTCGCCCCACCCACCCCCTCCTCCGGGGGTTCCTCGGGACCCGGGGGCGGGGCCCGCAGCGGGGGCGGG